CGGAGAGAGTGGTCCCTCCGGAAAGCAGATAAGGGTGGGGAGGGAAAAATGTCTTTGGTGGTGGCATTGGATTGCGGGTGGCAGAAGTGTCGGAGGATGATGCGTTGGATCCGGAGGTTGGTGGGGTGGTATGTGAGGACAAGGGGGATTCTGTTTTGGTTGTTATTGCGGGGAGGGGGTGTGAGGGATGAATTGCGGGAAATGCGGGAGACACGGTCGAGGGCGTTCTCGACCACTGATGGGGGGAAGTTGCGATCCTCGAAAAACGAGGACATCTGACATGTACGGGAGTGGAATGCCTCATCCTGGGAGCAGATGTGGCGGAAGCGAAGGAATTGGGAATAGGGGATGGCATTTTTGCAGGAAGGTGGGTGGGAGGAGGTGTATTCTAGATAGCTGTGGGAGTCTGTGGGCTTGAAATGGATATCGGTTTCCAGGTGGTTGCCAGAGATGGAAATAGAGAGGTCCAGGAAGGAGAGAGAGGTATCAGAGATGGAGAGGTTTCAGAGATCAGAGATACCTCTCTCTCCTTCCTGGACCTCTCTAGCTCGCACTAAACAACTGCACCTCCCAGTCGCGAACCATTTCAGCTCCCCCTCCCATTCCTCAGACGACATGTCCATCCTGGGCCTCTTGCAGTGCCACAACGATGCCACCCGAAGGTTGCAGGAACAGCACCTCATATTCTGCTTGGGAACCCTGCAGCCCAATGGTATCAATGTGGACTTTACAAGCTTCAAAATCTCCCCTCCTCGTACCACATCCCAAAACCAGCCCAGCTTGTCCCCGCCTCCCTAACCTGTCCTTCCTCCCACCTATCCCCTCCTCCCACCTCAAGCCCCACCCCCATCTCCTACCTACTAACCGCCCCCTTGACCTGTCTGTCCTCCCTGGACTGACCTATCTCCTCTCTCACTCCCCACCTAAACTCACCTTTACTGGCTCCATCCCCGCCTCTTTGACCTGTCTGTCTCCCCTCCACCTATCTTCTCCTCTATCCATCTTCTATCCGCCTTCCCCCCTCTCCCTATTTATTTCAGAATCCCCTTCCCTTCCCCCATTTCTGAAGAAGGGTCTAGGCCCGAAACGTCAGCCTTCCTGCTCCTCTGATGCTGCTTGGCCTGCTGTGTTCATCCAACTCTACACCTTGTTATCTCAGATTCTCCAGCATCTGCAGTTCCTACTATATCTGAGGACTTATACAATAAATGCTAAGGTCCTGAGCAGTGTTGTGGAACATAGGGAACGAGGAGTACAAGTACATAGTTCGTTGAAAGCAGCGTCACAGGTGGACAGGGTGGTGAAGAAGGCATTTAGCATGCTAGCCTTCATTGGTTGAAGCATTGAGTATAGGGGTTGGGATGTTATGTTACAGTTGTATAATTCGTTGGTGAGGCCGCACTTGAAGTATTGTGTACAGTTTTGGTCACCCTGTTATAGGAAAGACATTGTTAAACTGGAAAGTGTGCAAAGAAGATTTACAAGGATGTTGCCAGGACTGGGTAGGCCTGAGTAGAGAGAGGTTGGCCAGGATATGACTTCATTCCTTAGAACGTAGGAGAATGAGGAGTGACCTTATTCGGGTGTATAAAACCATGAGGGGTTTGGATAGGATGAATGCACGTAGTCTTTTTCCAGGGATAGGGAATTGAAGGTCTAGGCCTGAAACGTCGGCCTTCCTGCTCCTATGATGCTGCTTGGCCTGCTGTGTTCATCCAGCTCTATACCTTGTTGTCTTGAAAACTAGAGGGCATAGGTTTAAGATGAGCGGGGAAAGATTTAAGAAGGACCTGAGGGGCAATTTCTTCATGCAGAGAGTGATGCGTATATGGAATGGGCTGCTGGAGATAGCGGTTGAAGCAGGTACAATTGCAACGTTTAAAAACCATTTGGATAGGTACATGGATGGGAAGGGTTTAGAGGGACATGGACCAAATGCGGGCAATTGGAACTAGCTGAGTGGGCACCATGGTCATCATGGACCAGTTGGGTCGAAAAGCCTGTTTCGATGCTGTATTACTCAATGGCTCTACGACTAAAGTGAGGTAAGTCGTTGCTTTATCTCGGGCCTTGGACCCACCAGACGATCTATTCCCACCAGCATTATACAGTGACAGATCTGTACCCATCAGTACTATTTCCCAGTATTATACAGCGACAGACCTATCCCACCCATGCTGTACTGCAGTGTAATACAGAAACAGATCTGCCCTACCTGTACTGTACCCACTATTGTGACACAGTTCTAAACCCATCAGTACTAGATCCCAGCATTATACAGTGACAAATCTATACCCACCAATACTGTAACCCAGTGTGACACTGAAGCGAGCTTCACCAAGGGGTCATGAACTATGTTAACCGTCCCACTTCAAGCAGTGCTCTCGCCACCACTCACCAGCAGTTTGATGTTCTCACCTCTCAGCCAGCAGCACACTGATTGCACGCAGGACCTGACTGTGAAGAATGGGTCCAAGCTTTGCCACTTCTATTTTAGATAACAATATCTCAATGCAGTGCACTCGCAGGTTCAGATCTTCGGGCACTGCCTTCGACTCCAGTTTATGTAGGTTTTCCTGCAGGAACACAATAGCTTCCAGCCAGCTTCTCAAGAGCTCCGAGCTTGGCTCCGCTTCCAATAACACCAACTGTAAGTTGCTCTGCACAGACCAAACAGAAAACACTGACTGTCAGTGAAAACTATTGACTATCACAAATAAATAATGCAGTCTGTAATTTTGAGGATATGCACTCAGAGAGTCAGCCTTACAGGCAAATAACATCAACAACACAATGGAGACTCCCTGTCCTTACAGAGTCTGCAGCTTCAAGAACCAAGAAAGGGATAAATCAGGAAACTAAAGGCCAATCACTCGAACCTCAGTGGTGAGGAAACAATTGGAAGCAATTCTAGGGAACAAAAAATTAATCTGCACTTCAAGAGGCAGGGATTGATTAATCAAGAACAGTCAGTGTGGTTTTGTTGGCAGTCATGTCTGACCAACCTGACTGAATTTCTCAAAGGGTGCCCAGACATGTAGATCGGGGTAACGCATTCAGCATAGTCTACTTGGAATTCAGCAAGGTTTTTGATATGATCCCGCACAAGAGACTGATAGTGAAAGAAAGAGCCCAAGAGATTCAAGGAAATTTGGTAAAATGGATGCAGAATTGGCTGAGTAACAGCAAGCAGTGGATAATGGTCCAGGGGCTTTTTTGTGACTGGAAGTCTATGTCCAGTGAGGTTCCACAGGGATCTGTGTTGGAGTCCCTGTTCAGGAGAGTTGACAGTAAGTTCATGAACGATACAAAAGTTGGTGAAGTGGTAAAGTGTGAGGAAGACATCTTTAGATTACAGGGCGATATAGACGGGTTGGTTAGATGGGCTGATCAGTGGCAAATGGAATTCAATCTGGATAAATGTGAGGTTATTCATTGAAAGTTTTTGAGAAGATTTGTAGCTCAGATTGTGGTTGAGGTTGTAGACTTGCTTGCCGAACTGGTGTGTTTCGTCACACTGTTAGGTAACACCCTGCTAAGTGCACCTCCGGTGAAGCGTTGGTGTTCTGTCCTGCTTGTTATTTATATGTCTCAGTTTGCTGGGGTGGTTGGCATTACTTCTGATTCTGTTTTTCAGTGGTTTGTATATCGGGCAGTTCAATGTGTTTGTTGATGGAGTTCTCATTGGAATGAGGTGATGCACTTGGAGAGGACAAACATAGCAAGGGAATAATTGATGAATGGTAGGATATTGGGAAGCACCAAAGATCAGAGGGACCGGGCTGTGCACATACATTAAGGTAGCGGGACAGATAGATAAAGTGGTTAAGAAGACATAGAGGATATTTGCCTATATTAAATGAGGCAAAGATTTTAAGAGCAGGGTAGTGATGCTGGAACTGTATAAAACATTGGTTTGGCCACAGCTAAAGTACTGTAAGTGTTTTGGAATCCACATTGTACGAGGGATGTGATAGCACTGGACCCCAGGAAAAATCAGCACCTTCAGGAACTATATCCCCAGGAAAGTCAGCACCTTCAGGAACTGTATCCAAGAAGAGTCAGCACCTTCAGGAACCATACCTCGGAGAGAGTCAGCACCTTCAGGAACAGCACCCTGGGGGAAAGTAGACACCTTCAAGAAGTGTGCCATCCTTATCCAACATAGCCTATATGTACTCCTGATCCACAGTGGTTGACTCTCAAGTGCCAGAGCATTGGAAAGCCTTTAATAACCAGGAGATGATAACCGAAAAAGCAATAAGGGGGTAAAAGATGAAATATGAGAATAAGCTAGCTAGTAATATAAAAGAAGATTGCAAGAGATTTTTTTAGATATCTAAAAGGTAAGAGAGAAGCAAGAGTGGATACTGGACTGCTGGAATATGAGGTTGGAGAAGCAGTAATGGGGGAAACACAAATGGCAGAGGAACCGACTAGGTACTTTGCATCAATTTTCACAGTTGAAGACACCAGCAACAAACCAGAACTTCAAGAGAGTCAGGGGCAGAGTTGACTGTAGTGGCCATCACTACGGAGAAGCTGAAAAGCCTGAAGGCGGATAAATCACCCGGACCAGATGGACTGCACCCATGTTATATGTTAGCAATCCGTAAGAAGGAACTGAGGGTATTGTTGCTAAATTTGCAGATGTAACAAAGATAGTTGGAGGCACAGGTAGTGTTGACGAAGCAGGGAGGCTGCAGAAGGACTTGGATATGCTAGGCAAGTGGGCAAAGGAGTGGCAGATGGAATAAAATGCAGAAAAGTGTGAGATTATACATTTTGGTAGGAGGAATAAAGGTGTAGACCATTCTCTAAATGGGTAAAGGCTTCAGAAATCTGAAGTGCAAAGGGACTTAGGGGTAATAGTTCAGGATTCTTTTAAGGTTAACAGAAAGCTTCAGTTGGTGGTTAAGAAGGCAAATGTAATATAGCATTCAAGAGGACTCTAATACAAGAGCAGGAAATGTAGTGCTGAGGCTGTATAAGTCTCTGGTTAGAACACAATTGGAATATTGTGAGCAGCTTTGGGCCATGTATCTCAGGAAAGATGTGCTGGTGTTGCAGGAGTCCAGAGGAGGTTTACAAGAATGATTCTGAGGATGAAGGGCTTGTCATATGAGGAGCAGTTGAGGACGCTGGGTCTGTACTCAGTGTTTGGAAGGATAAGGGAGCAATCTGATTGAAACTTACAGATACTGAGTGGCTTGGATACAGCAGACACGGAGAAGATGTTTCCACTAATAAGAGAGACTGGGACCCAGGGACACAGCCTCAGTGTGAAGTGACGGCCCTTTAGAACTGAGATAAGCAGGAATTTCTTCAATCAGAGGGTGGTTAATCTGTGGAACTGATTGCCACAGTGGGGTGTGGAGGCAGGTCATAGAGGTCATATTTAAGACAAAAATAGATAGGTTCTTGATTTAATAAGGGAGTCATATCATATCAGCCATGATCGAATGGCAGAGCAGACTCAATGGCTGAATAGCCTAATTCTGCTGCTATATCTTATGGTCTTATTGTCCCTGTCCTGCGGGCAATTAGTGGTGAGCGATAAATGGTGGCTTAGACATCACTATGAATAAACTAAAAAGGGTTGAGAAATGGAATGATTGCTATACCAATAGAAGTTTTAATATCCAGCAGCCAGCCAGCTGATCCTTGCAACTGAGATCCTGCATGATCCAGGTGAGGACAGCAAGGCGGATGTCAAGGTCTTCACACAATAACAACCTGCCAATCCGCTCCAGCTGGTGTATATTTCCTGCACGCACTGCCTCGGCACACAGGTAGTGAGTTGTAGCTCTCCGAAATATCCCAGAGCCGATCTAGACAGAAAAGTTATCATAGGTCACAAACACAGGTATCAGTGATACATCAGCTTATAGCATCAGCATAAACTGACATTATGGCATAAATAGAGCTCTACTGGCATTAATAATGTTGCAATGGCAAGAGTGGCACAACCTGCAATACAATCTCAGCTTTTACTAGGAGAGGGCTCAGACATTTAGGTCACAATACACCCTTCACTTCAGTGATTTTTTTTGCATGTTCATACATTATTGTTATGAGATGTTCTCTCTAGTATTCAGTTAGAGCATAAATAGTTACTCTACCATCAGCCTGGTTGGAGAAGTCTCCAGTTCAGCGAGAAGCACTAGCTGGAGATTGCACAAGAACTCTTCACTGCACAAACTCAGTACCAATGAAACTATCTTCAGGTAGGCAGCTTGGATCAGTGGACAGCGCTGCGCTGGGCTCACCAACCAAAGCTTCATTTCCAGACTCTTCACCACATCCTGAAGCTCTTGAGGAATTAAGCTGTAGAGGAAAACACACAGGTGACCTGTGAACAGGAGTTTAGTTATTGTTTAGAAACACTGTGAACACAAAACAGTACAATGTTGAGTTTTAAATCCAGCAACACTGAAGAAGTGTTTGAAATGTTTAAAGGGTCTATAGACAATTTCACAAATAGTACACCTTTAATTCCCAAAGTTTGGACACTCAGGAGATGTCTCATGTTAAGAAATAGTTCTGGTGCACAGCTGAGTCCTTAAATATCCTCAATTAAGTTTACAGTAAATTTATGTCAAATGGAGACATGCTTTTTGTTCCCAATTAGGCCAAGCCCAACAGCTGTAGATGAAGGCAGCTATTTGAAGCTGGGATATCTCATCTCTGAATCTCAGGAAGTTCACGTCAGCCAGTATAGTCACAGTTGGAAGGCCATGAATGGAGGATTTGCAGTATCTGGTGTAATGGCTGCACTAAGAGATCACAATGTATTGTAATGTGGGTGAACTGGGCTCTGGATGTGTCATAGGAGTGGGATACATCCATATCAATCTCAGATTTAAAATTAACAAGTGATCTAGCTTATAAATAGAGAAAAGGTGTAGGAGAATAAATGGATCTGATAAGGGACTATAAATGGAATCTATGTATAGAGGCAGGGAGACAGATGAGGTATTAAATGTGTACTTTACATCTCTCTTTACCAAGTGAGGGAGGAGCTGGTTGACACACTGGATGGGTTAAGAATGCTAAACAGAAGCTAACAGAAAGGCTATCTTTACTACAAGTTGATAAGCTATAGACAGGAGGAAACGTATTCAACTACAGGGCAAACTTTTTAATTAACTGGCACCTATGGGACCAAGACTGTACTGGTTGATCAAATATTCCAGTTGATCAAGAAGTCCACGTATTCAATATAAAAACACACTCTAAGTCATAGAAACGCAATGTAGGGGGAATACACATCACTGTTATACCTTATTTACAGCATAAATCACATAAACAATATTGCAACTTTGCCTTAAATAAAACTTACCAGCAGAGGCCTTCTCAGTTGCACCCTCAGCTGATACTCAGACATCGCAGAGACTGGGATAATACAGTAAACTTCCAGAAAACTTTGAGATGCTGTATATAATTTTTGCTGGTTTATTGAGAGTGTTGATTTATAAGGTGCCAGTTAAAACAAAGGTTTGCAGTATTCTGAGGGAAGTAAGGGTGGAAAATACAGAGACTCTGACCATAATCCTTCCAATCTCCCTGGATGAAGGGGCGGTGCCAGAGGGCTGGTGAGTTCCAAATATTTCACCCTTGTTCAAGAAATGATGTGAAGATAAACTCAGCAAATGTAGGCCAGTCAGTTTGACTTCAATTGTATTAAAAGCTTTTAGAATGGATAATCTAGTTCTAAATTAACACTCCTTATGTAAATGTAATTTAGGAATTCAGCATGTTTCTGTTTTAAATGAAAAAGTAATATGTGGTTGAGCTTTTTTAATAAGGCTCAGGCTGATCTAAGGAGGGCAGTGTGGTCGACACAGTGTATTTGAACTTAAGAGGAATCTGATAAATTGCCACATAATAAAGGAATGAACGGGATAGACTGCAACACGTGGGTAGACAAATAAAAGCCTTAAGGTACAAGGACCTGGAGACGCACATTTAAAGCTTTGGGCAAGATGGATTGTGAGGAAGAAATGTTGAAATATTGTGAGGAAAACCTGAAAGTTACTGTACACTGTGGTGGAAGTGGACATAAATGTACATTTAAAAGGAAATTAGACAGGCACTTAAGGGAAATAAACTTGTATAGGTTGAGGGTATGGAACTGACTGGATTGCTCTATAGAGAGTGTCATAGATCTGATGGGCCAAATGGCTTCCTTTTGTGATACTGTGTCTCTATGACCCCAACAACAGGGAATAAACCATATTGGATTCGCCGTCAAGCCTACATCACCCGAATGTGCTGATACTGTGCCTTTAAGAGATATGTGTTCTTGCTGTTTCTCTTGCAGAGAGGTGTTGCCACAGTGGTTCCGAAATGTCTCCTTGAGATAAGCAGTTTGTAAACAGCTTTAGAGTTCTCCCTGGGGTTTTTTAAGTGAGACAAAAGAATCATGAGTAGACAGAGTCAGGGCTCACACAGGCCCAGCAATGTCCCTAATTTTGCTTTCAGTTAATTGAGAAAGTTCTCTGCTGCTGCTTTCTCTAAAAATCAAAAGGGACAGACTGTTTCTTTCTTCTGGACTGGAGATACAAAGCACGTAACAATCATAACTATTTTGCTGAATTGCATTTTTGCCAAAGGGTATGTTTATGGAATGCTGCCCGTGTTGGAACAATTGGTTAACAGTGTTTAAATAAGGCATTATCTTGTTACAACAAGGTGCAGGGCTGGATGAACACAGCAGGCCAAGCAGCATCATAGGAGCAGAAAGGCTGACGTTTCGGGCCGAGATCCTCCTTCAGAAAAGGGGGAGGGGAAGGGGGATCTGAAATAAATAGGGAGAGAGTGGGAGGCGGATAGAAGATGGATAGAGGAGAGGATAGGTGGAGAGGAAACAAACAGGTCGAAGAGGCGGGGATGGGGCCAGTAAAGGTGAGTGTAGGTGGGGAGTTAGGGAGGGGATAGGTCAGTCCAGGGAGGA